CTACTACTACTACTACTACGACTACTACTACTACGACTACTACTACCAACTACGACCAACTACTACTACTACTACTACTACTACTACAACGACTACTACTACTACTATTACGAACTACTACTACTACTACTACTAACTAAACCTACTACTACTACTACTGCTGCTACTACTACTACTAGTACTACTACTACTACTAACTGCTAACTACTACTACTACTACTACTACTACTACTACGACTACTACTACTACTACTACTACGACTACTACGATTACTACTACTACTACTACTACTACTACGACTACTACTACTGACTACGACTAACTATTACTACTACTACGACTACTACTACTACTGCTAACTACTACTACTACTACTACTACTACTACTACTAACTAGTACTACTATTACTATTATTACTACTGCTACTACTACTACTACTACAACTACACGTATTACTACTGCTACTACTACTGCTGCTGCCGCTGCTACTGCTTCTACTACTTCTTCTACTACTACCACTACTACTACTACTCCTGCTGCTGCTGCTACCACTACTACTACTACTACTGCTGTTACTACTACTACTACTACTACTACTACTACTACTACTACTACTACTACTACTACTTTTACTACTACAACAACAACTACTACTACTACTACTACTACTACTACTACTACTACTGCTACTACGACGACGACGACGACGGCGACGACGACGACGACGACGACTACTACTACTTAGAGCATTAATACTACGAGTAGTACTCATCATCAGAATACTCATTAGAAAAAGAAGAATAATAGGAGGAGGGGGAGGTGGAGGAGGAGGAGGAGGAGGAGACGGAGGAGGAGGATGAGCAACAACACGGAGGAGGAGGAGCAGGAGGAGGAGGAGGAAATCCAGGAGGAGGAGTAGGTCGAGGATGAGGAGGAGGAGGACGAGGAGGAGGAGGAAGAGGAGGAGGAAATACAGGGGGACTATGGAAAGAGGAGGTGGACGAGGAAGAGGAGGAGGAGGAGGACAAGGAGGAGGAGGAGTAAGGAAGAGACGGCAAAGGAGGAGGAAATAGAGGAGGAACAGGAACAATAGTCACAGTACTATGAATAGGAAGCTTGCCACCACTACTACTACTAACTACTACTACTACTACTACTACTACTACTACTACTACTACTACTGCTGCTACTACTACTACTACTACTACTACTACTACTACTACTACGCCAATTACTAATATCATTACTACTTTTTCGAAGTAGCAGACATAAGCCAATACATTTCAATACTAGGAGCAAGAGAAATATCATCAACAACATTGAACATGCTAATACGACAACTAGTTTTATTTATACGAGTAATACCACTACCGCGAGTATTACGAACAACAGTGCCAACAGTGCCAGGCATAAACCCACTATAGTAATCAAAATACGAACACGTTTCACCAAACAAAGACCAGTTTCAGTATTATTCAGAAACATGATACGAATACTATCCAGATGACGCCGGGTCATATGATCATGACGAAGAACGCGAGCACTAATAATATGCATCATGCTACGGCAGAAGAAAAGACGAAGACGAACGGTATTACTACTATCATGAATAATACCCGGATTAGTAATAGTAGTAAGGCTACGATTGCTACCAATATTGAGACGACATAAGCATACTCGTGCTAATCGCAATCCGACTAGTCATAGTAGTGCGAATGATAACAATATGAAGGCTACCAATTCTGATAAAAAACATGATGAAGAGTACTATTATGACTACCTGTGCGAATATTACTAATAGTATCTATTCGTAATCGAAATACTACTGTTCGTACTAAACACCCTAGTGGTACTAGTAATACCCACTATACCTATAGTAGTGCAAATACAACTACAGCTCATACTACTACTACTACTACTACTACTGCAACTACTACTACTAAGACTACTACTACGACTAACTACTACTACTACTACTACTACAACTACTACTACTACTACTACTGCAACTACTACTACTGCTACTCACGAGAATAATCATCATCTTCGTCATCAGCAACATATTAGTATGATTAGTGATATTAATAATATTGGCACTATTAGTATTCGTATTGCTACTGCTACTACTACTACTACTACTACTATTACTATTACTATTACTATTACTATTACTATTACTATTACTACTACTACTACTACTACTACTACTGCTACTACGACGACTACTACTACTACGACTACGACTACGACGACTACTACTACTACTACTACTCCCTACTACTACTACTACTACTACTACTACTACTACTACTACTGCTGCTGCTGCTGCTGCTGTTGCTGCTGCTACTACGAGTACTACTTTTCTACTACTACGATTCATAACACCAGTGTTATACTTATGTGTAACGCTAACAACACGCATAAGAGGAAGAGGAGGAGGAGCTGGAGGAGGAGGAAGGAGAGGAGGAGGGGGAGAAGGAAGATGAAGAGGAGCAGGAGGAGGAGGAGGACGAGGAAGAGGAGGGGGAAGGAGGGAGGGAGGAGGGAGGAGGGAGGAGGGAGAAGGGAGGGAGTAGAGAGCAGGGAGGAGGAGAGGGAGGAGGCGAGGGAGGAGGAGGGGGAGGAGGAGGAGCAGGAGGAGGAGGAGGAGGAACAGGATGAGGAAGAGCAGGAAAAGGAGGAGGAGGAAGGAGGAGGAAGAGGAGGATGAGGAGGAGGGAGCAGGGCGAAAAAATGGACGAGAGAGGATGGATGGTGAAGGTGGGATCTAACGGGATCTAGCGGTCTTGCGGCCCCAGCGTGAGTCACGACACGACCTCACTGAACAGACACACCAACAGCTCTCCCAGTGCCTACTGTCTCGCAAGAGGAGGCCTTTGACTGCTGCCATTGCCTGCCTTTTTGCATCCAGTGGCACGAACGTTACAACTGATAATGTTGGGCTTGTCTACCCCCTCCCTTGCCGCTTTTCGCACCTGCTGCCACTGTCTGCTGTCCAGCACGCTCCACCTCCTCGGCCTCCTCCTCCTCCCTAATCTGGCGCCCCCTAATCTTAATGTGGCCGATGGTCTTCAGGATGTGTGCTAGCCCGAAGCGTGTTTGCCACGCTTGGCCGCCGCCGATGGCACCCCGCTGGTTTCGGCCCCCGTTGCGCCGCCTGCGTCGTGATGAAGGGCCTTGGTGGACAAGCGGACGTTGGCGATTACACTTTTTACGTCGGCGGCGAGGCAGAGGTATACTGCGCCAGCGGTCCAGCAAACCGTGGCTACCGAAGAGCGATTTGCCCAGGATGCAAGAGCAAAGACTGAGACAGAGGGTGGCCGCGGAGGCGGGGGAGGAGGAGGGGGACACTCAGGGGCGGAAGACTTCCATCTTGAGTGCGCTGGCGCGGCCAGCCTCGGCAGTGGGGAACGTGGCAGCGGCCGGGCCGCGGCGTTCGTGCATCCACGGGCACTGACGAGGCCCAGAACATGGAATGCAAGGATGCGCGCAGTAGAGCTGCCGTACGTTGGCGTCAACACACGTTCTGAGGATCATCGGCAAATGTGGATAAGCCGCGTAGATCAGCGACGGGTCCCGCTTCCTTGTAAAATCGACGCGCTCCTTCGCCAAATGAGGCGGCACGGGCCTTATGTTTTTGGGAGGTATTGCCCCCGATCCGACACTGCCCGCAGTGGGGTAATGGAGGGCTGCGGGCAATCTTGGCGAGTGTGGGGTGTGCATGGCGAGATTTGTAAGCTTCCCCTGTGCATGGTGCCAGCGCCACGCAGGAGGCTTCGCATCGCGGGTCGAAGTCGTTTCACCCCTTTCTGCCAATGCACCTCTGACGTGTCATGGCGCCAACATCTCAGAGCGGATTTCTGTCTGAAAACGATAGGATAGGCCCGGAGTGTCCTGGATAATTTCGTTCGTTCCAGATTTCGAGGTGAGTTTCGTGCGGCTTTTCCTGGCCAGGAATGAAGATTTGTAAGAAAGCCACGCGAAATCCACTTCGTTTTTTAATCGCTGTTGCGGGGTTTTGTATTGACACAAGTTCACGCGCAAATCCGCTGCAGCACGTCTGCAAGGTCGGTGCAGTGAGACGTGCACGGCTTCTCTCTCTCTCTCTCTCTCTTTCCCCGATTCGTAGAGCCGGTACCCTCGCGCAGGATCCGCGGATCCGTGGTCCACGTTAGTCAGCGTGTGCCAGGCAGGTCGACGGGAGTATTCTAAAAGGGGCGTCGCGTTCGAGGGATGGGAAGTTGTCATCGGGAGCGGCCAAGAGAGGGGGGATGACTGGGGGGGTGGATTTCATGGCGTGGGCCATGATATGTTCTCAAATTTCATGGCGCCTCTCTTATTTCATTGCGTTTCCAGCCCCCCCCCCTGGGTCGCGCACGTGCCCCCGGCCATGATTTGCGCCCCCCCCTCTTGGACGCCCCCCTCTTGGCCGCCCCCGATCTCATCTCGTCCTTGGCGGAGGCGGGGGGACGTAAAACAGTGGTCGGGCCGCTGGCGGAAGGCTGGCGGGAGCCTCCAGGGGCGTGCGTCGGCATGCTAGAGCGTGCGCATGTTGTTTGGCTTCAGAGTTTCAGGAACGAGGCGGCATCTTCTTCGGCCCACAAGGCGGTCGTAACCACGGGCGTCTGTCTAGCGCAGTCCGCAGTGGCCTGCCGTGCCTTCGCTCCGCAGCACGTGCTTCGAGCCGCTACCTCTGCCAGCGCCGTCGATCTTCGGCGCAGCGCCAGCGTCGCACGTGCGCGCCGGGGATCGCGTGTCCCAGGCGCACCGCGGGGCCTCAGTGAAACCTCGCGGCCTCCCTCCTCCCACCTCCATCCTTCCCGCATCCTTCCCCCCTTCCCTTCTTCCCTCCTGCCCTCCCCCCTCCTCCCTCATGCCTCCCCTCCCTCTGCTCCCCCCTCCCGGCTGCCGTTCCTCCCTCCCTCCGCCTTCGCTCCTCCTTATGCTGCTCCCTCTGGCTACTCCTCCCTCCTTCCTCCTCCCACCCTCTCGATCGAGGCTTTTGAGCAGGCGAAGCAGCGAAAGGAGGCCCGTGCTGGAGAAGCCGCGAGGGCGATGATGCAGGACCTGTCTTCCCTCGTCTGCCTCTGCTCTACAATCACACATGATGAATACTGCTATCCTCTCTCTTCGGGCCCTTCCTGGAAGATGTTCGGCTCTCTCCGCGTAATGTTTCGCACGCGGGATTTCAAACGCTGATTTGCCTTACCTTTTGCTTTGCAGCTCGAGCTTTTTCTGATTACATTGTAAGCCGTGGTGGACCCCATACAGTGTGCTTCTAGCAATTTATGTTGCGCAGCCTAAATGGACCAATCTGTGTATATATATATATATATATATATATATATGTGGGGCAAGCCGCCCTGCCGAGCTTGAAGTTGTCAACAACACTGCTCGCGCAATCATCCTACCCATCTGCCCTCAACTTGGCTAGCAAAACAATGCAGCGGCGACTGCGATGACTGCTCCGCGCTGGCTGGCGCATCGCGGCGGCAGCGCCTGCGCGCGCAGGCTCGCGCGCAAAGCGGCCAGCGAGTCTGGCACGACCGACGCGGCCGCGGTGGCGCTGACCGCTGGGGACGTCCCAGCGCGTCTCGCAGGCCGCGCTGACGCGCGGGCACTTCAGTGCGAGTCGGTGCTCCGGGTGGGCGTGGTATCATGGCGACGTCGACAACGTCCGACATGATGGTGGGAGTAGCGGTGCTGATGACGATGCTGACGATGACGACGGCAAGGCCGACGGCGGCTCCGATGCTGGTCACGCCAGTGACGATGATGGTGTCCACGTGTCGGCGATGAAGTTCTTGGAAGGAGTTCGACATGCGCGCGCGGCCGACGGGTACGACTGGCCCGCGTTGCTTTGATTTGGCAGGGGTCGTGCCCCCCACAGCACGCGCGCAAGGGCGCTCGAATGATTTCGACATGCGCGCCCGAGATGCCTGTTCGGTCGCGTTTCAAAACCAGTGTAAACCCGTGGGCTTTCTTAAGAGCTCGCAAGAGCGCGCGCATACCTTCTTTTGGTTGGACAACCCATTATGTGCAATCGTTGTTTGTTTATCTGTCCTCGGGGCTTTCACTATTGAGCTCCCCCCAGAAACTTGGGTTTTGTTTCAGGGCTGCGGCGTGTGCGGGCGACGGCGCCGTCGCGTGGACTTTCTCCATTTGTTGCAAGGATGATTTGTGATAAAAAGGAGTGTGCGCGCAGTATGATTGGGCGAATATGAGGGGGGGGCGGTCCCTGGATTGACTGGGATAGTATGAGTTCATATATAGAACGAACGATGGGGCAGATTCGTATGTACATGGCAAATAATTGCACATCCCCAGGCTTGCGTGATGAATCCTGGGGGGGTGGGGTGGGTGGGTGGGTGGGTTGTTGGGTGGGCGTGTGTGTGTGTGTGTGTGTGTGTGTGTGTGTGTGTGTGTGTGTGTGTGTGTTTGCGCGTGTGTGTACTTTATTTTTCAGGGGAAGGAGGAGATAGATGCAGTGCAGCACATTTGGTGCAATGCTATTCTTGTTCGCAGTGAGTTGTCAGTTACATTGCTCGCGCAATCACCCTCCCGCCCGCCCGCAACTTGGTTAGCAAAACCCATGCAGCGGCGATTCGGTGACTGCTAGGCGCTGACTGGCGCATCGCGACGGCCGCGCTTGCGCGCGCAGGCTCGCGCGCTGAGCGGATAGCGATTCTGGCGCGACCCGCGCGGCCGCGGTGGCGCTGGCCGCTGGGGCTTCCCGGGGAGACCCGCAGGCCCCGCCGACGCGCGGACACTTCAGTGCGAGTCGTGATTCGGGCGGGCGCGGTATCGTGGCGACGTCGACACGACAACGGCAGACATAACCACGATGAGGATGATGATGGTGATGATGATGGTGGTGATGATGATGATGATGATGATGATGATGATGATGATGATGATGATGATGATGATGATAGTAGCGGTGCTGGTGAGCATGATGGCGCTGATGGCGATGACGACGGCGAGGCCGACGGTGGCGCCGATGTTCGTCGCGCCGACGACGATGATGGCGTCCACGTGTCGGCGGTGAAGGTTTCGGAAGGGTTTCGACGTGCGCGCGGCCGACGGGCCCGAGTGGACCGCGTGGCATTCATTTGACAGGGCCTTCCCCCCCAGCGCGCGCGCAAGGACGGTCGACGGATGTCGACGTTCGCGCCCGAGAGGTCCGTTCGGTCGTTTTCCATGCAAGCTGACGGCCGAATGACCTTTTGAAGAATTCGCGAGAGCGCGCGCAGATGGTTGAAAAGCCGCGTATCAAAACGCGTTGCAATACATTGTTCGTTTCCGGGGAACCGAGACTTTAACGGATTTCGACTCCTTGCGGGGCCCAGGACTTCAACGGATTTCGGCAAGCGCGCGACGGTGCGCGCGTGTCGACTTGGTCCTGTTTTCTGCAAGGGGCTCGCCGCCGTGTGCCAGCGCGAAAGTGCATCCTTGTCCTTGCCCGACGCCCGTGGCCAGTTGGGCTCAGGCGCTCGGCCGTTTCAGAATGACGGTTGGGCGCTGAAGCTGGCCGGTGGGCCCGCGCCCTCGACGCCGCGCTGTAGCGGGCGCGGGGCGCGGCGCCAGCCGCGCCGGCGCGCGGGAAGAAGGCAGAATGGGCCGAGGCGGAATGCCGCGGAGGAAGGGCGATAAGGAGTGGCAGCGTTCCATGCGACCCTTCGGGACGGGGGCCAGGCCGTTGGGCGAGCGGGGTCCCCCTCTCGCCGAGTTCGGGGCCAGGCGGCGAGGATTGGCGGGAGGTTTGCGAGGGGCGCGCAGCCGCGAAAATCGCACCCGAACCGAAGTTGACGCCATTGGTTAGGGAGGCCGACGGCGTGGCCAGGTTCCACAACGGCCGCGTCATCGCACACAACTAGGCCACGTGCCGCTACTGCGAGGACGAGTGCGGCGTGATCCTCTGCAGTGTTCAGGCCTATGAGGAATGGGGCGCCATGCTTCCAGAGCTTCAGCTCGATGGTCGCGCGTGAGAGTACGTTGCCGCGGCCGTGGCCGGCGAGTTCCCGCGGGCGTTCGTTGACGGGGTCCCGGGCGCCGCGCGCCCGTGCCGCCGCGCGTGCTTCAGGCGCCGCGGGGACATGCAGCGCGGCGACCCGACCTGTGTGAGATCTAGGAGGCCATTCTCAAGGGTGAACGTGTGTGCATCGTCAGGCGAGAGCCACATTTTGAAAACGGCCCGCCCGCCATCCGTGAAACCACTGCAACGGTTTAAGCTTCAGGGTCATATGTGGTGAGGGGGTTCTCAAGTGGAATGCCCGGCCCGCCCTGCCTTACACGCTTCGGGGTGCGACAGGGAGGAATTATTTGCAAAGCAAAAGGATGGAGAAGGAGTCGGAGGAGGAGGGGGAGGAGGAGGGGGAGGAGGACCAGTGTAAACCCAAAACGCAGCAATTAGTTTGCAGTGCACCCTCCTCTTACACTCCCTTTTCGCAGGTCCCTACAAGGATTTTTTGGTCACCGTTTATTTCTGGGACTTCAACGCCGCGAATCATTGTTACTAGTGCGTCCTGACGATTCCGAAACGTGCCAGAAAACCGTTTCTGGCGTCAGCCAGAACGAACCTTGAACATGTTGTAAGCTTGTAAAACGAATGTGCGCGGCGCGAAGGCGAAAGACACATTTGTGAAACAACCGCCTTCCATCCGTGAAATTATTATAGAGTTTTAAACTGCCACGCCGTAAGGCGAGAACAACATTTTAAAGATCCACCCGCCCTCCATCCGTGAATATTCTGTAAAGTTTCACGAGACGAATGTGCGCGGCCTTCAGGCGAGAGCCACATTTTGAAGACGGCACGCCCGCCATCCGCGAAACTGCTGCAAGTTTTAAGCTTCAAGGTCATAAGTGGTGAGGAAGTCTCAGGTGGAACGCCCGGCCCGCCCTGCCTACACGCTTCGGGGCGCGACAGGGAGGAGTTATTTGTATAGAAAAGGGATGGGGGAGGTGGAGAGAGAGGAGGAGGAGGAGGAGGAGGAGGAGGAGGAGGAGGAGGAGGAGGAGGAGAAGGAGGAGGAGGAGGACGAGGAGGAGGAGGAAGAGAAGGAGGAGGAGGAGGAGGCGGAGGAGGAAAAGGATGGCGGAGCACAAGGAGGGTGGCGGAACGGGAGGACGATGGAGAGGCGCCAGAGGACGGAGGAGGCCGACGGCCACTAGGACCACGCGCGCCCGCGGCGCCCAGCAGCCCCGAGAGGACCTGCTCGCCAACTCGCCCGAGCCCTCCAGCCGCAGGGAGTGCGACAGGCGGCAGACCGGCGGCGCCGGGCAGGACTGCCAGCCCCGCTGCCGGCGCTGCCTGCCCGTCGCTCCTCCTGGCCCTTCATTTCGCCATGGGGGAAGCGGGTCCTTCGGGAAGACAGCTACCGGGTTGGGAGGATGGGATAGGGAAAAGTGTGGATATCCTTGCCTGTAGGCTGCCGAAGGTATCGTTCATTGCATGTGGATGCCATTGCTCATGCCCTTCATCCTCCCAACCCCTTCCTGCCAACACGGTAACTGTTCTCCTCAGTCCTGAGGGAAACGGGTCCTGAGGTTTTTCGCTTTTTTGGGCCGGGGCCCTCCATCTGGGACCGTCCGAAATCGGCTCAGGACGAGGAGCTGGTCTCGTGGGAAAGCCCCAAGGTCCAGGACCCGCTTCCCTCAGGTTCCGCTTCCCCGATTCTAATCCTCTCATCAGCAGCGTTAGTCAGCACGATCGAAATAGGTACGAAACGATTTGGTTCGAAGACCGACAGCAGTTCCCGTTCGTTTTGAACAGGCTCGCTGTCGGTGTCGCCGCGGGCGTTGTCCATTCGAGGCAGAAGGCCGCCTGCCCAACAGCGGCCGCTGTCGGTTTTGGACGACGTTTGTTGTTGGACATCGTGCCCATTTTTTCCGTACCCATGTCGGGTGTCCAAAGTTAGAGGCAACGTTCGAGGTTCGAAGTTCAAGTTTTTTTTTTTTTTTTTTTTCGTGGGTTCTCGGCGGCTGTCCAGCCTCGGGATGCCTTCTGGCAGCTGCGCCTCGCCGACGGCGTTCCGGAGGTGCCCGGGTCGTCCCAGACGGCCGCTGGCGAGGCGTTACGACCTGCAAGCCAGATGGCATCGACATTGGGGGGACAGGCTTATGGGGGTGATGCATCGACCCCCAATCGCCCAGTGGTCGCCGATGGGGACCCGGCAGCCCCGTCGTGCCTAGGAACGTGCGGATTCGCTATCGGGGGCACATCGCCGATCTATCGGCGATGCATCGCCGATTCCAGCTCGATGCTCCCCCCCCGGAGCCGGTCCCCCCTGACGGTGCCCCTCGCCCTCGCTTTGTGAAGGAGCCTCGTCGCGAGGTCTCCGAGCGGGATCTTGCTCCCAGGCATTCTAGCGACGATGGCTTTTCACCTCGCTCCGCGGCCCCCCCCCCCTGGAGATCTCGGCTCCCTCCCCCGGGGGGGAGCTCCGGGGGTCCAGTTTTTGGGCGGCGCCCTCGGGGCCCGAAAGCGGCCCCGAAAGAGGCCGAGTCCGGAAGGTCGAGTGGCCGACTTTGTGTGCTCGACGAGGGGGTAAGTTTGCAAAGCCAAGGTTTCGCCAGGGGTCTGTTTTTCCTCGAAGCCTTCCCGAAGAAGCCGCCCTGAAGCCCCACCCGAAGTGTACTGGGTGCTGTCCGGATGGTTCCAGGAAGGTTTTAGAGAAGGCTTTCCTTTCTGGGTGGGGGAAACCAGTCCTGGGCGAACCCTGGAATTTCTCAGGCTGAGCTGCATCCTGTGGTTCCGAGTGCTGTGAGGCGCCTTCCGCTTCTCCGGGTCCTCCATTCCCTCCTCCTGCGCCTCGCCCTCGTGTCTTCCCCTCCTTCTCTCCCTTCTCTCGTTCCGTTTCTCGCTCCCCAGGAGCAGCGCCTGAACCGGGCCGGCGAGTACATGACGAGGGACCAGTTCCTCGGTATGTACGGCGATCTCGAGGAGCCCCAGCGATAGGAGGGCGAGTAGGAAAGCGAGGTTGTTGTTGATGATGATGTTGTTGATGATGCTGATGCGGATAAGTTTGATGATGATGATGATGATGATGATGATGATGATGATGATGATGAGGGTAATCTTAATAATTGTAATGCTGATGACGATGATGATGCTGACGATGATGCTGCTGGTGGTGATGATGCTGTTGATGATGCTGCTGCTGATAATGATGAAGATGCTGATGAAGATGCTGATGATGATGATGATGATGATGATGAAGGCGACGACTACGATGATGCTGTTGATGATGCTGATGCTGATGAGATGGTGATGGTGATGATGATGCTGCTGATGATGATATTGATGACTGATGCTGCTGCTGGTGAAGATGATGGTGGTGGTGGTGATGCTGATGCTGATGCTGATGCTGATGCTGATGCTGATGCTGATGCTGATACTGATGATTATGATTATGATTATGACGATGATGCTGATGATAATGATGATGATGATGATGATGACGATGATGGCAATGATGATGACACTGATGATGATGATGATGATGCTGCTGATGATGATAATGATGATGCTGCTGCTGATGATGATGATGATGTTAATGATGCAGACGATGATGATGATGCTGATGATGATGAGGAGGATGATGATGATGATGATGATGATGATGATGATGCTGATGATGATGCTGATGATGATGATGATGCTGATGATGCTGATGCTGATGATGCTGATGATGATGACGATGATGATGATGATGATGATGATGATGATGATGATGATGATGATGATGATGCTGATGATGCTGATGATGATGATGATGATGATGATGATGATGATGATGATGATGATCTTGATGATGATGATAATGATGATGATGGTCGTGGTAGTGGTGGTGAGGATGAGAAGGAGGAGGAGGAGGAGGAGGAGCAGGTGGTCGACGCCACGGATAAGGACCTTCTAGACACGGATGATCAGCAAATTCGTGTTTCTCTTTTGCTCATGCCCACTTGATCGCATGCCAGTATCCTTTGTCTGCTTGAGCTTCCCCCAAGGGCATTCCCCTTGCGAGAGCTTCAAGCCTTGAGCGGGATTCGAGCACATGAAGTTGGGACAGCTCAGTGCTCGCAGTCGCACTTGCGCGTGTGTGCCCACACGGGCAATGGGAGCCTGGCCTGTGAATGATCATGCTTGGGGCTCTCTTGACGCACCCCGTGCCACCCACCTTGCCGATGTATGGAATCCTCCACCAGGCAGTCGGTGGGGTGGCTCGTGAGGGCCCCCCCGCCCCTGCGGGCGGGGCGGGACCCCCTGGGACCCTGACGAGGTCCAGCCGCGCAGCCCCTCGTCCCCTCGGGGGCCCTGCAGGGTGCTGCTGCCCTCTCTCTCCTCCGCCTCTCGGCGGCGAGCCAAGGGGGGTGGGGGGGGGGGGGGGAAAGGGGAAGGAGAAGGCCTTCTGAGAAGACTCGGACGTCCCCAGGCCTGCCGAGAAGTTTTCCAAGCCCCCCCGGAGACGCAGGACACTCTTCGGACAGCGCGAGGGCTCCTGAGGAGTCCCGCAACCTTCTGGGAAGGCCTTCTCCTTCTCCCTTCACCCCCCCTTCGCTCGCCGCCGAGCCCCCCTCTTTGTCCTTGATTGCCGTGCCCTGTTACGCCACGAATTGGCAGGGCGTTCCTCGACCGACCGATGAGGAGGAGGAGGAGGAGGTGGAGGTGGAGGAGGAGGAGGAGGAGGTGGAGGAGGAGGAGGAGGAGGAGGTGAAGCAGGAGGAGGAGGAGGAACATGAGGCGCAGGAGGACGGCCAGAAGGAGGCGGGAGCGAAGGAACATGAGGAGGAGGGGGAGGAGGAAGAGGAGGAAGGTGGCGGGTGGAACCTTTTTCTGTCTTTTGTTTTTCCTTCGTTCTTCGAGGTGTTCAGGTTATCGTTTTGCGGATTCACGGGAGTTTTCGGGGGGGGGGGGATCTGGAGGATGAGGACGAGGTTGTTCTTAATGATGATGATGTTGATGATGATGATGGCGGTAATGATGATGTAATTGATGCTGATGCTGGTGTTGTTGATGATGATGGTGCTGATTGTGATGCTGCTGGCGTTGGTGACGATGCTGCTGATGATGATGACGATGACGACGATGTTTATGACGATGATCATGGTGATGCTGATGATGCCGATGATGATGATGCTGGTGATGATTATGCGGATGCTGATGGTTATAATGACGCTGATGATGCTAATGATGCTGCTGCTGATAATAATGACGGTTATGTTGATGCTGCTGATGCTGATGAAGATGATGATTCTGAAGAGGGCGTTGATGATTACGATGATGATGAATCCGATGACGATGACGATGACGATTCTGATGATGAAGATGATGATGCTGATGTTGATGTTGATGTTGTTGATGATGATGATGGGGAGGAAGAGGAGGAAGGGATGGGGGAGCATGATATTGCTGACGAAACGGCACGCAAGGTGTACCTATCACCCAGGAAGCGTGACCAGACTGGCAGGTATACATTTAACTCTGGGGCACGCCCGCTGTTCTGTTGTGGTGGCGTTTATGTTCTGCTCCGCGTAGCGGAGAAGGAGGAATAGGAATCGGCGTGGACTCTTGCCGGATGTATCTCCGTCCAGGAAACCTTGGGCACCGCCGATTGAGTCGAATTCGCCAGGAACAGGGACGCAAATAAGAACGAGGAGGAGGAGGAGGAGGACCAGCGTACGCCCAATAATCATCAACAATGTTGAAAAACACCCCCTCCATAATCCCTATTCGTGGGCCCCTGCAAGACGTCACTCTTACTGAGGGAATTGTGCCGTTGGGGGACAACCGTGTGATAATCGTGACGCGTGCCAAAACATGATTCTCAAGACTTCAACACCACGAGTTACCCTGACTGTTTCGTCTTGGTGGTTCTTCATCGTGCCAGAACACCATTCCGGGGACTTCAGCACCGCGAATCAACGAAATGTTGCGCCCCGCCAATCCTGGATCGTTTCAATCGCCATTCCTGGTACGTCAACCATGAGAATCCGTGAAACTCTTGCAAATGTTTAAAACGGATGTCCGCGGCGCTAAGCGGGAACCACATGTTGAAACGGAGCCGCCCTCAATCCGTGAAGCTCTTGCAATTTTTTAGAACAGATGTGCGCGACGCTAAGGCGAGAGCCACATTGAAAAAGAGCCGGCCTCAATCCGTACAACTTTTGCAATATTTTGGAAAAAGTGTCCGCGGCTTTATGGGGAGAGCAACATTTTGAAAAGGACCCGCCCTCAATCCGTGAAGCTCTTGCAGATTTTGAGAACGAATGTGCGCGGCGCTTTTGAAAACAAACCGCCTTCAATCCGTGAAACTTTTGCAATGTTTGAAGCGAATGCGCGCGGCGCTAAGGCGAGAGCCACATTTTGATGACGACCCGCCCTCAATCCGTGAAGCTTGTTCAAGTGTGTGAAACACTTGTGCGTGGCGCTGAGGCAAGCCACATTTTGGATCTGATCCGCACTCCATGTGTGAAGCTGTTGTCGATTTTCGAGCATCAGGGTCATAAGTGGTGAGGAAGGCTTTGGCGAAACGCCCGGTCCTCCCTTTCCACCGGCCTCGGGGTGCGACAGGGAAGAGTTATCTATAAGGGAAAGGAGCGGAGTGCAGGGGCGAGGAGGAGGAGGCAATATCAGGAAGCGTAGCAGCAGTAATGAGTGAGAGCCAGAGGGTCACTGACCAAGCTGCCAGGTCCGCGAGCGGGCTCCATTCAACAGTCATGATCAGGATCCAAGCTAATGCCAAAGATGGTAAGAAACTCAACGCAGGCAAGAAGATGGCGGTGCACACGTCTGGATGTACCTTTTTCATGGAATCTCAGAAATTTATTTTAAAAAGCCCTCAGAAGCATAGGGAACATCTTCATAAGTATCTGCTTCGGTGCTTTGGAGTGGCCACGTCCTGTCTTGCCTGGAGGATAGATTCGATGACCATCGCTACACTTGTCATCTCACGTCTTCATCTTGCTGGGGCCAGAAGCCAGGAGTCCACGAAACAGTCATGAGCTGCGAAGCAGTGATCGCTCCTTGACCCCATCTTGATGCCCGCGGCACTTCCCGTTATGCTGGACTGGATGTCGTAACATGTGTCATCATCCGCATACTGGCTCTGCACTGGTCATCAAACCCCTTTTCTTCCTGGCGGCTCGATGCGGCCTGCCGCTGGACCCACTCCTCCTGGATCCGAGAGTACCCCTGCGGCCGTTGCATTGCCCTGCAGTGTTCTGAATCCGTCTGCGCCGGGTGCTCCGTCAGGATAAGCCATCGCTCTGCCTCACGCTGTGGCGCACTGGCCGCTAAGGCTCGCGGTGCGCGCCTTTCTGGCTCCAGCCTGTCCGCATCGAGCGATCGCTGGGGCCGATGCACCCCGCCGCCCCCGCCGACTTCCAGCAGCGCGCGGCGGCCGCTTTCACTGCCGTGCGACCTGCGAGGCGATCCAGGGCTACACGCCTACGAACTCCGTCGCTTGCGCCCCAGTCGGCGGGCAGCTGAAGCGCGCCAGTGCCCCCCTGTGGTGTCGCACTCGGCGCTCCTACAGGGCTTCCCTGGCCCAGGCATCGCTCTAGGCTGCGGTCTCAGGGTCTCGGGAAGGGACTCATGACGCCGGACCCCATTAACTTTTAGCATCTCACTGCTTCTCTATGTCTGGATGAGCTGAGACCATGGCTTTTGCCGGTGACCGACACTGACGTTCTCAATAGATTGGCGTCGTCGATGTCGTTTGCACACGTAGCGCCAGACGCCGTGCGGAACGTTATCGGGGTCGCTCCGGGCAATCGGCGGAGCACGAGCGTGAATGCACCTCTGCGCGAACAGCTTGACACGTTGTGGTCGGCTCAGCAGGCGGGCTTCTCTATCCATTCAAGTGTTGACGCATTGCTGACAAAGCACTCGGAGCTTCCGGGGGAAGTTCGCCAAGCAGGTACATCTCGTTTGTGACAGGGCAGTGCACGCTTCCTGCGAGCTCCTGAGCTTGCCTTGCCTTGCATTGCCCTCTGAACACCCTGCGCCCTACAGTCAAAAACACTAGTAAGGGCGCGCGACTTTGCTGAGGGTACCCATGCGTCCTTGCTCTTCCCTGCTCTTGCGTCTCCGTCCTTCCTTGGTTTCGTCTCGGGGTTTTCGTCGTCCGCCGCCCCAAAAATCCCAACTTCGGCTTCCAAGGGTCTTGCGTCCTCACCGCGCGTCCTCATTAGGGTTTTTGACTGCAGAGGGCCGGCGGGGTTCTCGCGCTGCTGCCGTAGAGAGGGTAGCGGGCGCTTCTGGGGCAGCCTCCCGTGGGATGGGTGCGTGGCCTCGGGAGCGAGACCGGATCACGGTTCAAAATGGAGGGTTTCCTCCCCAGGCCCCCTCGCGTTGTGAGGAGGAGGGGGAGGAGGAGGAGGAGGAGGAGGAGGAGGAGGAGGAGGAGGAGGAGGAGGAGGAGGCGCGAGCCTGTTGCAGTCCACAAGGGATTCACTAGCCTCGGGAGCGCAGAAGCGCAAGCGCGTCGCTGTTTCTGCAAGGGATTTTTGGGGCCTCGGGAGCGCGACTCGCGCCGTAGGCCGGAAGGGACACTGGCCTCCAGAGCGCGAGCGCGACGTTACTGGTGCCTCGGGTTCGGGAGCGCGAAACCCGTTGTGCTTTAGAAAGGGCTTGTGGATTCGGGAACGCGACGGCGTCTCAAGTCAGAAGGGACTGGGGCTTCAGGAGTGCGACTTCGTCGTAGGCTGCCTGGGGTTTGGGCTTCGGGAGCGCGCGAGCGCGTGGTAGTGTATAAAGGGGTGGCTTTGGGGAGCGTGCATTAAATTACGAGAGGTTGTGGTCTCGGAAGAGCGAACGTGAGGCAACTTACGAGGGATTGTGGCTTCAGGAGCGCCGACGCGTTTCGATTTGCGATAGATCATTGCCTCGGGCGTGCGAGTCTGTTGTACTTTACGAGGTGTTGTGGCCTCGTGGGCGCGAAGGCGTTGTATGTATCAAGCGTTGTTGCCTCGGGGCGTGCGAGCGTGAGACATCTTCTCAGGGATGGACCGTGGCTTCGGGCGCGCGAGCGCCCTGCAGGTTACAAGGGATTGTTGCCACGTGAGCGCGAGTGTGTCGTAAATTCACGCGCGCGTGCGTGTGTGAGAGAGAGAGTGTGTGTGCGTGTGTGCGTGTGTGTGTGTGTGTGTGTGTGTGTGTGTGTGTGCGTGTGTGCGTGTGTGCGTGTGTGCGTGTGTGCGTGTGTGTGCGTGTGTGCGTGTGTGTGTGTGCGTGTGTGCGTGTGTGTGTGCGTGTGTGTGGCTGGCCCCGGCAACGCGCATTCGTGTATTCAGCCAGTGATTGTGGCCTCGGGAGTGCAAGCGCGTCGTGATGTACGAGGGATGTTGGCCTCGGGGGCGCGAGCCTGTTGTACTTTTACGTGTCTCAGCCCCCCCCCCAGAAATTTTGATCACCTCCATCCGAGAACGTACACACTTTTTCTGGCCAGGGGCCCTCGTGCGTTATGCAACAGTTTCCGCCACCGGGACCAGAAGTATTGTTATTGTTATTCTTGTCATCAGTAGTATTAATTTCAGATTATTCGTATCATTGTTGCTATTATGAGTCTTCTTATTCTTCTTCTTACTCTTCTTCTTATTATTATTCTTATTCGTAGTATATTGAGAGCCTTCGCTCTATAAGTTTGCGGGAACAGGGAACCTCGGCCTCGCGGCGTGTTGGCCCGCCAGCGGATCTCCTGGCGAAGTGCACGGGCATCTTGGCTTGATAGCGCAGCAGCGCCTGCAGAGGTGAGTGTTAAGGCCCAGTCATGCGACCCCCCCCCTTCAGTTTCGTTCAGTGCGTCGCCCGAGCGTCGCCCGTGCGCCGGCCCTGGTTTGCGTCTCTGTCCCGAATCCCGGCCTCCCAGAGTGCGTGGGCGACATATGGCGCGACTTCGGAATTTCTCTGGCGATGTATAGGTTTCCGACGCCGGTGCACCAGCAGCAATTTTGGCGGTCGTGGCGCACTCTAGTTCGACGGTCCACCAAGGCGTTCTGTCCGCCCCGTGGGTGCCCGCCGCGTTGGCGACGCACTTATCAAATTGCTTCCTTGCGAGGGCGACGTGCACGTTCGAGAGGGCGGCTGGCCTTTTCGGCGGCCGACGCACGGGCGGCGCACGGGCGACGCACCTCTTGTCGCGAAGGGGGGGGGTCAGCACGCCGGTCGTCTTACTGGGCCTTACTTTCATCGCATTCCTGTCACGAGCGCGCACAACATGTGCAGCCGTTGTGTGCATCTGAGAGCATGGTAGGAGAGCTTAGCGTTGGTTGCGTGCGGTCTCTGCATTAGCCCTTACATCGAGAAAACGTGAGTGCTAGGTTTTCTGGATGGGGGTTGTCCAGAGGGTGTTGTCCATAGGGGGTTGTCCGCAGACTCGGGGATTATCCCGATGGTTTCCTAGTCCGTTCGCCTCGATGTCTCAGCGGAATCCTCAATCGGGGACGTCATTGTCATCAATGCTACCACAACTTGTCACTGGGAGTCGGGAAGTGACATGCTGCGACTTCGTGGGACGGCCGCCACACATCGCGACCACAGCCTCCTCGTTGTCTTCGCCGTCGCCCTCCTCCTCCTCCTCCTCCTCCTCCTCCTTCTCCTCCTCCTTCTCGCCACCTCCGCCGCCTGCCGCCCGCCGCCGCCGCTGGCTCCCGCGGCCCTGGCCCGCTGCGCTGGCCCCGCCGCCCGTTGCCGCCGTGCGCGGCCCGCCGCCGGCCCTGCGCGGCCCGCCGCCGAGGAGTGGCACGCCGCCCGGTGGACCGCCTCCAGCCCCGCTGCGCCCGCCCGCCGCCGCCGCCCGAGGGCCTCGTCGGCCGCCTCGTCTGCTTCGTCGGCCTCGCCGCCGCCGCGGTGCGGCAGGCGGCGGGGGGCAGCCCGACGGCGGCGGCGCAGGCGAGGGCGAGGGCGAGGGCGAGAGGGCGGCGGCGTCAGGCGCCGACGACGTCTGCGGCGGCGGCCGCGTCGGCTGCGGTGTCGGCGGCGCAACGGCGGGCGGCAGGCGCTGCGCGCGCTGCGCGCGCTGCCCCTGCGCCCGCGGCGCCGGCTCGCCGCGCTGCCCACGCGCCCGCTGCCTGCGCCGCCTGCTGGCGCCGACGGCGCCGCCCGCTGGCGGCGGCTCGCTGCCGCTCGCCGTCGTCGACGACGTCGTCGTCGTCGTCATCGGCGGCGGCGGCGGCGGCGTCTCGTCGGAGGCGGAGGAGGGAGAGGAGGAGGAGGAGGAGGAGGAGGAGAGGAGGAGGAGGAGGAGGAAGGAGGAGGAGGAGGAGGAGGACGAGGAAAAGGAGGAGGAGGAGGAGGAGGAGGAGGGGAAGGGGGAGGGGGAGGGGGAGGGGGACAGGGGAAGGAACCCGAGGACAGACACAATCCGACAGGCAGGCACAGAGTACACATTATGACAGAGAGGCAGACAGACAGGCAAACCTACAGACAGACCGAAAGGCAGACCGACAGACATCATGACAGAGACAGAGACATATACACGCACAGAGAGAAAAAAGAGAGGGAGAGAGAAAGGGAGACATATATATATATATATACATAGAGAGAGAGAGAGAGAGAGAGAGAGAGAGAGAGAGAGAGAGAGAGAACAACATAGCATGCTCGGTAGGACGCGCGCGCGTGCCACCCACTCAGCAGGATTGTGGGGGGTGGAATGCTCCTGTGCGCGCTCGCGATGCTCGTGTCCATACCCCCTCCTACCTGCCTCGGCTGCGCTCGGGAGCGAAGTCCCTCTTCGCTTCTACCCCGACGCAGCTCCCGCACAGGGAAAAAAGACAGCGCGCGCGACACCACCGTGGATGTCTCGCTGAGCGACTGCGGGCGTTGGGGTCTCGCCGCGCGGTGGAAACATCGCGCGGGCGGTGCGTGATGGAATCTATGGCGGCGGCATTGGACAAGGAACGTCTTCCTGGGGCCCAGACCCTGGCGCATTCCTTATTCCCTACCTAGGCTCTGTCTAGAAGGGTTCTTACTGTATAAGTTCAAAGGGCCGGGCAGTG